TTTTTCCATTCATTTCGTCCGTTTGTTTTACTTTAGTAATTTTCATTGAGAGATGCATTCATATATAAATAAAAAGGATACTTGTTTAACCAGATATTATTAAAAAATTAAATAAACAGTAGAAAACCAATTTATTTTTTGGTGATGTTTATTAATATTCTTTCTGCAATTAATTTGTTTTATATTATTCATTTTATATGGTCATCTACGTGACTTTTTAACATATACCACTGGTTACACATTAGATAGTATGGTTTACACCTCATGAAAACTATGTTTGTAATGAAAATGTAGTGAGTAATACCCGTACATGTCGTCTTACACATCTCCATCATAGGATTAGAAAGATGGTGAATGCGAGGATGGTAAAAAGTTTAGAGGTACATTCAGCTCAATATTATGTTTAACGTCGCGATTGAGTTTTGAGTTTAGAAATCCTTTTAAGATAAATTTTACGGTAAACTTTAAAGCGTGTATAAAGTTTACGTTCAAGAAGAAACGTATCTGTATCGTTTGTAGTACGGTAACATCATGAGCCAAATTCTTAGAGTGATGACATATGTTATACAATCTTTATTTTCAGCTTTGTGTGTTCATTTGATCTACACAGTCATCTCTGCTGCTATGCTATAAAGTTAGTTTACTAATAGATATATGCTATATGTTTTGATCTTTTTTAGTTTCGCTTTGTCTTAATGTTAGCCTACTCTATAGTTTTACGTTAAGGTTTGTGTTTTTTTGTTTTTTTTCTGTTGGGTTGAAATTTTGGGTTTAGTTTTGAGATTAGGAATAATTTCAAGTTTAAGTTTCGGTGTACTTTTAGATTTAGGATTTTTATCGAAGATTTATATCGAATATGAATAAAGTACAACGACTATAATGTTGTCACCAAGCTTGACTTGAACATTCATCAAGAAATAGCACCGTAATTTTTAACAGTTTCCTGAGAGGCGCTACAAGATTAAGAACGCTGAGATTACAGGAAAATCTTCCTAGACCTTCTTGCCATCTTTACTTTGTGCATGTCTCCTTTAAGAGCCACACATATATTATTTTTTTTATGAAACAGCAAATTAAAAATATACACTGTTTCAGATATTACAAAGTTATTTGCAGGAAACATAATCTCTCTTAGATAATATGTGCACATATACTTGATTGTGTGTGCAATATAATTTTTAGTTTATGAAAAAGATTAGGCAACCAAATAAGAGTTTTCATTAACTTTGATGGTTAGCGTAAAATTCGAGCTATGCGCCATTTGGGAGTTGTCAATGAAGCTTGTTGCTATTGAAAACATATCGAAAAGTTGATGTTTATAACTAAAGTAAATAAAGCTGGGACCACATATTACACGTCTAGTAACAAACGGCTAAAAGTTTATGGAAAATTTGGTGCAAAAGAAATGAATATTTAAAAACAAAAATATGTATGTTTAAGGACTTCGAATTTTGTATTTAGTTTTTAGATTTATGTTTACGTTAAAGAAATAAATATTGACTTAGATTTTCAAACACAGCTAATACTGTGTGTAAATGGTAAATACAATGCGTGCATAACTTGATATGATACCCTCTTGTAAGTTTAACTTGGGTTTAAAATTAGTTAGGTTTGCATTTTAGGCTCATAAGATTTAGGATTAGATTTAGAATATAAGCACAAACAAGTAACAAAAAAAAGAAAACATATGGCGTCCACATGTGACCTCCCGGAAGAACATTGACTGCTTCAACAACGATAAACCGTTTGAGAAACCTTTTAAGATTAAGTTTAAGGTAAAGTTTCAAGGGTAGGTAAAGTTTACTTTCAAGAAGTAAACTAAAGTTTACATTCAAGAAGTAAACTATCTATATCCGTAGAAATTCAGTCAGAACACCAGCCAATGTCTAGCTTATTTGACAAGTTATCAATTATTTGCTTTTATGTATGTGTTTATTTGGTTACGTTTTATGTTTAGTTTTAAGATTATGAAAAGGTTTAAGTTTAGGTTTAATGTAAGGTTAAGGAATTATAGCGGAGATTTATATTATATAAGAACAAACTGCAACAACTATAGTGTTGTCACCAAGCAAGAACATGAACTTTTATGTAGAAACATCAAAATAATTTGTAACTTGTTTCCTGAGAGCCGCAATTATAATAAGAGGGCTGAGTATCCCAGAAAACATTGTTATAATCTTCACTCTGTGCATTGAGAGTTCAAAAATATGATGACATTTTAGAATACCGGATGGCATTATAAAGAATGAAAATTTGACGTAAATTATCTTTTCTCACTGTAGCCACATTAGTAATTTCTCTTGCCATTTTTATTTGTGGGTATTTTAGAATTATTTTCCGCTGCTCCGATGTTCTTGATTGAATTATATGTTTTCACACCCCATGCGGATCATCTCAACGACAGAATCGTTGAGCCTCTCTCCGACTGTGTCGCTGAGAATAAAACCCTTTGGTGGTTTCTCAGTCAACACTGTCGTTGAAAATAAAACAATAATTAAACATGCTCTCCACAATTAGGAAAGCATAAACTGTAGGTGTTTTGAAGCTAATATTCCAGCCATTTTGTTTTGACGAGAGCTAGTCCAGATCTAGACTAGATCTACTTGATCAACGATTTACACTGATGTAAAACCTACGTAAATCAAATCTACAAGATCAGGATTTACATCTAGATCTAGAAATCTACATTATTGACTAGAGAGAAAAAGTTAAAAGTATGCCTAGTGCGTCGAAAGTAAATGATAGAATCTAGATCTAGAATAGATCTAGAAAATCTAGTAATTTTTCAGTAGCACTAGCTAGATCTAGTCTAGATTGACTAGATAGAAAGATAATTATTTCTGTGGCATAGCTGTCCTTTAGCATTTAGGATCTAGATCTAGAAGTCTAGATCTACTCAATATTAAATCTCTTCTATTTCAAATTGTTTGTAGATCTATATCTACAAGATTAGGCTTAGGTCTAAAAATATACTAAAGTTAAAGCTACACAAGTACACATCATTCCTAAACTTAATGCCATTAATGGCTAAAATTCACTGAGCATTGTTGCACTTAAGACTTAAACGTAAGGCCTAAATAAATACTAAATAAAATTATTACGTTAGCTTAATTTTCGTGACAGCTTTTCTCTTCTTTTTTGCCATGCTTAATTTAAGTCACTTTCATGTGCTGGTAGCTTAAAATAAAACTTGTTTAGGAAGTTTATTTCTTTCTCCCTTTCATAATGCTGCAAATATGAGTAAGACGCTTATTATTATAATTAAATAGCTGCGATAAATAATCATTTGCATCTTTTTGGGGGTATTTCTTTTATATGAACTGTGAAATACGGTATCTCAAATTTTGCGCGTAACTCAAAGCGAAATATTACTCGCTCAACTGCTCGTATTTAAAAAATCTGGTATGTCGAGGCACTAGAATGTTGAGGTACCACAGGATCTACTATGTATTGAAAGAAAACATAAATTAATTATAGAATAATAGGCAAATATAGTAATAAAGTAGGCCTTATAGCTTTAGATTTTATTCAGCCTACTAATAAATAATTAAATAGGCCTAAAGTAGTACTAGATATTAGTTAAATCACTAGTATTGTGTAGGGTTATTTTTATTAAAAAAACAGATCACATCTTATACATTAAGGCGGGCTCAATAAAATAAAAATAATTTATTTAGGACCTAGGCCTATCTTTTGGAGATCTAAAATTCTAATTGAAAAATAAATTATTAATTAGACCAACAATAGGCATAGTATGCTAAATCTATTTTAGTATTTAAATTTAAGGCTCGGCCATCTACTAAAAATTTTATAAATGTCATAAAATGGCCTACTTAATTATAATTACTAATTACTATTAGGCCAAGTTTAAACTAGAGATAGCCTATTTTATTAGTAGAAAAAGTATTAGTCATAGTTAAGATGGTATAGCCTTATGTAAATTAATGTAATCAGTGTTAGATATTATGATATCGATCAAGCAATTATTATATAATATCGGAAAGGGGCCTAGCACTCTCTTAGCTTAGTCATTAGTCTATTAGGTCTTACAAGTAGTTTAGCCTATTTATATATTATAGGGCCTATAGGCTGTTATTTAAATTAGGCCAAAGGCTTATTAGGAAAAGGCTTAATAGGCTTTAGTTTTTAATTAGGCAACAAGGCAGAGGCTTAATGTTGCTTATAGATTTAATTTGAAATTATTATGATATACGCCAGTGGCGTAGCGAGGTCGGGTGTCACCCGGTGCGGCACTTAATGGTGTCACCCCCCCAGAGGCATAGAGACCCTTCCCAGGGACAAACTTTCAAATTTTCGATTTGCACCCCCCCTCAAACTTTCGATTTGCACCCCCCCCCTCGAGTTTTCGATTTGCACCCCCCCCTCGAGTTTTTGATTTGCACCCCCCCCCCTCAAACTTTCGATTTGCACCCCCCCTCGAGTTTTTCTAAATATATTTTGCTATTTTTTACCTTGGTGTCACCCCCCTAAATGGTGTCACCCGGTGCGGTCCGCACCCCCCGCCCCCCCCTCGCTACGCCCCTGATATACGCTACTCTGCGACTATCACTATAGACTGCTATAGAGTATATTATAGCCTAGGCCTATCTAAATAAAATAATTCAACTCACTTAGCTTACTATAATTTTTAAAAATGTTTAGTTAAGTATTCAGCTCTCTATGTCAGCTAAGGCCCATAATTGTAATTATCCTACTGTTAGTGTTAGATCTATTAATTATTTAATAATTAGTAGGCCTAATTATAGGAATTAGGTCTGATACATTAAGTCCTATACATTGGTCGTAGAGTAATACTATTGGGCTAGTAATTATATACAATATCTATACAAGCCTACTTATCGTTAATTTGGAAGTCTTTGCATTGACCTTAGTTTTCAGATGTAGCAGCCTAATTTTTATCAGATTATACCATAAAATCAAAAGTAGACTTGTAGATCTTTTTAAAACAAGGGATGAAATATTAATTTAAATAATATAAATTAAACAAATAGCCTAAATAACAACTACACAAAGTTAAAGTCATAATAACTTTTTATAAAGGTATCTTGAATTTCAACTGGAGGTAGTTTTGATAAATATTAGTATTCTGAACATTAAAATAGGTAGACTTAACATACATTTGTTCTGAAAACATATTTAGAAATTGGTTTTAAAAAATGAGGTTAGGATTGGGGTGATAACTAGTTGAGGATTAGATATGATATTCATTGTGTTTATCCATGTTGTAATTTCTCTTTTACAGGTTCATCCAAAAAAAAGGGAAGATCTGATTTTTACCAGTAATAAGACTACAGCATACTAAATGACACAAGATGTTCTTTCTCTATTACCTCTTACATTTGACATAAAAGTAGGAAAAGGTATGACAATTATTAATAAGCTGCTTTAAATTTTATAATTTGTTTTTTTTATAACTTAATTGTACCATTTTTATTTCCAATAATGATAAATATAATTTAGTGTCATTTATATTTTAAAATATTTATATTATACTAGATATAATTTACTTCTATAATATTACTATCCAGGTTTAACAGTCTATGCCTACAACATAGATCTCCAGGACTAAAAGTACACAAAATGGCAATCAGTATATCACAAGTGTAATAACACATGCATCTAATCTGCTTCAGTGGCGAGAACTGGGTGAATCCTCTCAAACATTAATCAGGTAAGTTATCACAAGTTTGCTTTGGTTTATTTTGAACATGTTGATTGAGATAGATTTTTATTTGTATAAATATTGTATTTAAAAAAATATTTTACCTAGTAAAACCAAGTCAGTGGTGATGATTGATACAATATCATTATGTATTTTTTTAAATATTTGTTTTGCAAAATATGCTGATTTGCTGGAAGGATATATATATATATATATATATATATATATATATATATATATATATATATATATATATATATATATATATATATATATATATATATATATATATATATATATATATATATATATATATATATATAAACAGTATCATTTAGTGGTTTGTCTTACAAATTTGAATTATTTACTTAATCTGTCTTAACTGCTCAACAGGAACTAGGCATACCTAATGAGCGTCAAGCTGATACAGTAGATGTACAGAAGAGTTTATACACAAGGTAAATATTGATAAATTTTAAGTTTTCTTTTTTTAAGGATACATGTAGTGTTTTGGGAGAAAGGAATTAAATTATTTAAATTAGGCCTAATAGTTTATTTCTCTAGCTTATGTTTCACTTAAAATAACTTAAATGTTTCCCCCTTTATCACTAAAGCAAAATTTTATAGATATCTATGCCATGATTCATCTCATTCAATCACTTTTTTCTTGTTTTGTTTTGATGTATTAAACTAATTTAAACTAAAGATTTTTTTTTTTTTGCTAATTTTATTATTTCAGATGGATGATTAAGAAAATCATTTTGTTTTGTTTCAGGAAGTGAAAAGTGATGTAAAAGGCAACTAATACTTCCATCTACCATAGTTAAACAAGAATCTGCAAATGGTGATAATTGCAATAATCTTGATATATTAATGTTTGGCTTTATAATTATATGCAATTGTTTCATAAATAAATTATTTCTCAAAATTTGATGTTTTTGGTTTTCATACTTTGTACATAAGATGCAAGTGATTGAAAGCTGAAAAGGGTTGTATGTAGTTATAGTATTCCCAGCACAAGTTGACATTAAAACAGCTGAAGCCCTTTAAAAAAAAAAAAAAAAAAAATAATAATCTAGGAATGCTGTTTCTATTAGCTGAGCATATATTTGGAAAAGAACTTAATTGTTTACCAGAGAATACTGTGACCCAGTTTGTACTCCAGGCAAAAAGTGTCTATGGTTAATATTATTAAGTTAAAGAAAAGTATCAAACAAACAGGATAATATTAATAAGCAAGACCTCCACACTAGAGAAGTATGGAATGAGTGTTGCATGGAATTCAAATCAACTTTGATGTTGCTAATTGCTACACTGGCCATAATTGGCCTACATTGACTTTTGCTGAGGTAGGCAACTGTTTTTGTTAAACTTGAGATGTCGACTAAATAAAGAAGAAAACTGACACGCCAATACCAAAATCAAGAACTTGTAAAGTTCGTGGTTGCTAAACCGAGAAGTTCTGAGTTCAATCTCCCGTGTAGATGAGGCTCTATAGTTGGGGATAGCAACCTATCTTAGGGATACAACACTTGTTCTTGGATTGACAAAAGATAAGAAAAGAAATCCAGAAAGAAAAGCAGCTGAACGAAGAAGAAAAAGGCTGGATATATTCGGTATCAACTGTACAATTTTAACAGACACACATTTCAAACTACACATGCATTTCAATGACAAAGTTCAGTGAAGCCATAATGTTGAGTTTGACTGAATGAAGAACGATATTGTTATTTCAAGCTAAGTTAAGGTTTATTGTCTTAAAGACATTGTCGTGGATTGATTTAGACTAAGACTTCCCTGTTAAATAAGCCGACAACGATGGCTCTTTTTATTTCTCGTCTTTGATGTTGCTTTCAAGAACTTGTATGAGATTAGATTACCTACATACATAAGGCTACACAGTTTGGAATCTTGGCTTTCTAATAGTGGACCTGGCTATATGACATTACCCCCACCCCGTCAATTACCCCCCCCCCCCCCGGAGGAGACCCCCCTCCCGTATTTACCCCCCGGGGCAATTACCCCTTGTCAATAACCCCCCTGGAGAATCCCCCCCCCCCCGGCCTCAAGTTATGATCCTAACTCAAACTCTATACCTATGTATTTCCTTAATCCTAATCGATAAAAAAATGACCAAACCCTAAGCATTCACCTCAGCCTAAAACTTAACACATAACCAAAACCAACTCTAGACTTAGGTTTCAGCCTAACCTTGACCATAACACTAACCCTAATCCTAGCCTTAATCCTAACCCTGACCATAACACTAACTCTAATTCTGAATCTAACCCTAGCCCTAACCTTAGCCCTAACGCTAACCCTAACCTTAGCCCGAACGCTAACCCTAACTGTAGCCCTAACTCTAACCCTAGCCCTAACTCTAACGCTAACCATAACCCTAACCTGAGCACAAACGCTAGCCCTAGCCCAAACTCTAACTCTAGCCCTAACTCTAACCCTAGCCCTAACCCTAATCCTAACCCTAGCCGTAACCCTAACCATAATCTTAACCTTAGCCAGAACGCTAACCCTAACTCTAACCCTAGCCCTAACGCTAACCCTAACCCTAGCCGTAACCCTAACCATAACCCTAACCCAGCTGTACCTAAGAGGTGTGTGCGTGGGGGGGGGGGATGTCCTCCTTGGCGGGGGGGGGGGGTAAATGACAGGGGGTAATTGCTTCAGGGGGGAGAGAACTAATAATCTGTAAGTCCTACTATTCAATACATTCGGTTAACACAATGTCGTCACACATGTAAAACAAAATAAGCAGTGTTTTTATTATTTGTATCCTTAAAAAATGCAAAATAAATGCTACGCCATTAACTCAACCCTCTTTTTTCTCGTTACATATCGTCACATACCACCGCCCAAAATGATGGTGACGTCAATATACAATCATAAAGTGGTCACCCATTAACCACGACTCACTCTTCAGACGATTTTGCACCAAACCCCCCTTCTCTAATTGTAACAAACTTTCACAAAAAGCCAGATCTTCGCTCCCCCCCCCCCCCCCCCCACCACTCTCTTTAAAAACACTACACCTCAACACATAACCCCCTCCGCCGTTCCCCTGAAACTGCATTTTTACTTTCTCGTATATACGAAGTATAGAGAAAGTCTTGTAATCGTGCAAAAAAAAAAAAAAAAAAATCGAGATTTTTTACAAATCTCGACGTTTTACACCTCACTGATACGGAAAAACATAATTTTGCAATCTTGTCCGTATGTCTGTGACTGTGTGTGTCTGTGTGTAAACACGATTACTTGAGTACCGTTACAGCTAGGTTGATGAAATTTCATATATAAGTATTTTATCAAAATCATAGATCCGTATAAACTTTTGAGTGATTTCCGATAACCGAAAGTGGTACTTTTTCTACTTTGAATTTTTCAAAAGCCTATAACTTGAGTACTATTGCAGATAGATAAATGAAATTTCACATGTAAGTAAAAGATCTAATTCTCTACCTTCTGTCAAATTTTGAGTAATTTCCGTTGACAGGAAGTACCTATTTACGCTATTTCCGATTTCTCAAAAAACGCACGTAAATTTATAAAGTACTAATAATGTTGCGCACTATTATGCACATCTTTATTTGACGTTCACTTGGTGTGCAATTCTTTTTTCTACGAGGTTTTATTCTATTTTAAAAAGTTTAAGTATTTAAAATGGATTAAAAATCATGTCTATATCCCGAGTTGCCATTCCCCGTAGTGTTATATTAGAATATTCGAGAAAGTTTAGGGGAGATCACTCCCGGTTTATTATAATATGTACTGACCTCGATAAACATTGAGTTAATAAATGAATTAATACCAAAAGCAATCTTTTAAAGCCCGAAATAACGGATGAAAGCAAAAATGTGTCGTCACACTTTCCGATCATCCCTTCCCATAAATGAAAAAAAAAGCCTGAACATACTAAAGGAGAGTATGGATGTTGATGGAGGATCCCAACGTTAAAAATTAAAGCAGCGCAAAATTTCAGGAATCCATGTTACATATTATTATTTTCCGTAGGTATAAGAAAGGTATTTACATTGTGTTTTATATTTTACGAGCCGCTATCATACGCCGCTATTTTGTTGTTTCATTTTCTACTTTTCAGTAATTCATAATTTGTGAATTTGACAGTAACAATGCTGCCACTGAAAATATTTGCTTTAAAACACTATCAGTAGCTCGTTAAGGACGATAACCCCCCCCCCCTCCCCACCCTCCTTTCCCAAAAATCCTACCCCCCTCCTCGTGAAAGCAGCCCCCTCTGAGTTACCTCCACTAAGTTTAAAATCGTTTCAAACTAAATTATCTGCCCCTAATAGCTGTCACTAAACCCGGCTCTACGATTGTAAACATTTAGCTTGAACCACAGCTCACCAGACCATGTAGGGATGGGGGTGGTAGGGATAGAGAGAAAGAGAGGGGGCTGCTAGGGGCGCTTACAGCTTGGTGTTTTCTATGGTATCCATGAAGAGAATTATTTATATAGAAGAAATATATATTAAACCAGCGTACCCGTCCCGCGCGTTGCTGCGGTCTCAGAAGACAGACTGACGCAATATTTTAAGAGGATTCCATAATTACATTAGCAATCACGTATTTTTTTACGCTTGACATTGATTTCTAAATCTAAACAATTTAAATGTAATCAAAGCCGGTGTTATATTGCTTTCATCATAGTTGTTGAGGCGCAAATTCTACCGCACACAGTAGCCATTGTATCCATAATGTATCGCACTCTTTAAAACGAACGTAGGCGCAATAGTGTTTATGAGGGACCCACATAGGGGCGCTAGACCACACACCAGTGGTGCAGTAGACAAAAAATTTCCCTACTGTAGGGCGCTCTTTTAAAACTCATAGTGTTCCTCCCGAAGCCAGTGGCGCATCGGGTCAAACGAATTGTCATCGAATGTCGTGTGCCACAGGGTCAATATTGTAGAGTGCTCTTTAACACAACCTTAGGATATCTCAGGGCGCCAAATCGCTTCCTGCCGGGGAGCCGGCAGACGCGCCTGATTCCTTATAGTCAAAAATTATTGTTGCCCATCGTGTCTTTAGTGTATAATTTAAAAAAAAAAACGAACGTAGGCGTCATAGTGTTCACATGGTAGCACGGGACGCTTCGGGTTACGTAATATCCGGGGCGCCGGCGGCTGCGCCTGTTGTTGCTTTTTTACCTTAGCCCCCATGCAGTTTTAATATCGCCGCCCTGGATTTTCAGGCGCCAAGCCGTTTATTAACAAAAATCGCACCCTCCAGGGAAACGCTCATAATAAATTTTAATTTTTGTTTTCGCAGAAACCTTCTCGTGAGTGTTTTCATTAACTCTCGAAAGTTTAACGGCACTCAGATAAACGATGTCAAACAGCATCCGTTTTGTTTTTTACAAACTGTGTAGAGAAAAATTGCACCCTCCAGAAGCGCCGCCCTGTTAAAATAAAAAAAAAATAACCTCCCCTGAAGTTTTATGGCGAGCGGATGAACGGGATTAAACCGCAATCTACTTTTACGTATATATACCCTATATAGGGATCTATATATAGAATCGATTCGCGCCCTGCTGGGGCACCGTGCTTGTGAAATATATCCAGTGGTATTCTTAACTTAAGTTGCATGGCCATAGGATGAAAGGTGTAGTGCTGCATAGAGGACATAAACAAACCCACAAACAAACAAGCAAAACTTCATTATATATATACATAGAGAGAAATATAAATAATTCTACATATGCATATATATATATATATATATATATATATATATATATATATATATATATATATATATATATATATATATATATAGCTACATTTGGTGACTTCCCATTTTCCCCAATGGCGTCAAATTTTGCACATAATCCACCTATTCATTCATGTGAAAAAAAGCATCGTTTTTATCGTAAATTATTAGATTTTGGTATC